AACAATTAATCCAAGAGTCGCCTGCTGTTTGTAATTAACAGGGAGACTTAATTCTTGGAAAGACAATGGAGAATAAAGGTCTTTCCTATCATTTCTGTAGCGCATCAGTTTGTCGACCGCAACAATCGTTATCATATAGAAAACAGGAGGATGGATAAATAGAACAAATCTCATTTCCGGTGAAGCTAAGAGATGAAGTTACTAGCAGCACAAAGAGATAAATCCGAAACAAAAAAAAATGGGTAATTATCCTGTTAAGTTACATCTATTATTACAGGGATACCAAAGAAAAAATTATGAATTTAATCTGTAATAAATCTTTAAAAATTTTTAGTTAAAATGTATAATAATAATAATAAAATACCCTTTAATATTTAAAACAGTACAGATCCATATTTAAAGTTATGGGATGTCTGGTTGTCACGCTCTATATATCACGAGAGATTTATTATAATGAAATTCTTTCGTCGAAATTTCGTTTCTGCATTCGAATTTTTGATGGGAAAACTAGTTTTGTGACCTTTGGATGCTTTATAATAAAAATTGTAATGTTTAAGACAATAGGCGAAGCGAAATCGCATCGCTTCGTCTAGTTTTAGCTTATTTTATAGTAACGATTTCTCTATTATCGTAGTTAAATGAAACAATTTTTAATTTTTAAATCCGTTTTAAAACGAAGTAACAGTTTATAAAAAGCCTACAAGTTGCTGTGGATCATACTATTATTAAATAAACAAATAAAACTCTCTCAAAAATGGAAATAAACAAAATAATTAAAATAGAAAATGGAGAATATAAAAATATTTAGAGATTAGTTTATTTTTAAATAATTATCCTTATTTTTCTATCATTATTTTTGATTTTATAAGACATTCAAACTTGGAAATCATCCAAAAAAAAAAAAAAATAGCATTTTGTTGAGTAGTCGTATCGTTGATTTCAACCGACTTATCGCTCCATTTTATTTATTTATTTATTTATTTTTAGTCATTTTATAAAATGAAATAGTTATAAAATCAACTTAAAAATAAAATAAAAAAATAACGTATCATTAAATTATAAAAACCAACAACAAATCACAAAAAGAAAGAGAAGAATGACAGCGTTAACAAGATGAATAGAAACAACAGAAACAACAACGTGAACAAGACAATAAAAACAACAGAAATAGCAACGTTAACAAGAAGAATAGAAACAACAGCGTTAACAAGATGAATACCCAAAAAATAGTACAACACGGTTTCAAAAAACAAATAAGAAACAACAGCGTTAACAAGATGAATAGAAACAACAACATTAACAAGACAATAGAAACAACAGAAATAGCAACGTGAACAAGAATAGAAACAACAGAAACAACAGCGTTAACAAGGACAAAAACAGCAGCTGAAGAAAGACACACAACAACGACAACAATATTAAGAACAGCAAGAACAAGAACTTCAAGAGAACAGTAACGAAAAAAAAAACAAACAAGAACAACAAAAACAACAACAAGTAGAACTTGTGGAACCAAAACAATACTTCAATTTACTGATTATTATTAAAAATAACTTAAAAAAAATAAAAAAATAAAAGAAAATTTACGATTTTCCAACATCTTTTCTCTTTAAAATTGAGATTTTTGTAAAGAAATAAAAGCTAAAATTCTCGATTTATAAAATCCAAAGATCGTTGACGTAAAATATATACAATAAGAAAGAAGAAAGAGAAAGTGAAAGAAATGAAAAAGAGAAACAAAAAAATAAAAAATAAAAACTTCAGTTTGTTGACTGAATTCTAAAATATTGCATTTTTCAAGCAACTGAATTTTTGTATTTTTATTTTTTTATTATTTTATATATATATATATTTTTTTTACTTAATAAAGATGTAAATGACGGGAAAATGAAGATGTGGGAAGAAGTTTTGACAGAAAACTAAAAATGATTGATGAATAAACATGGATTATAAATACCCCATGATTTTTAAACATTGTCTTATGTACTTCGTCAACCTAAAAATACTTTTATTTATAAAACAATTTACTCGATAATCATTTTATAAATATAATTAAATATACAGTAGTTATAAATTACTTGAAACATTCATTATATAATTGAGTGTTGATCTTTACACAAAAAAAAAAAAAATTATATTTTAACAGAGGAAATTATTTATATATTTTATGTTTTCTAAATAAAAAAAAAAGATTTTCTTTTAACAAAAAAAAAATATTTGACAAGATTCTTCTCGATACTATCATCTTCTTTACGTGGGTTTAGACTTACATAATATACAATATTTAAAAGGATGAACCTCTATCTAAAGACAAAATTTTATTTTTTTACAATAATCCGGAGCATTCTTTCAGAATAATACTTTAAAACTTTTTTTAATATGTCTGATATTTTTTATTTTTTTAGATTTTTTTTATATCTATAACAATATCCTTTAGGCCTACTTTTTTACACTTAACTTTATGTTTTGTGCTTAAAAAATTCGCATTTTATAAATTTGTATTTATTGATAACACTCATTTTTTTTT